CGAGTTGGTGTGCGCAGATGATGCGCCCCCGCCGAAGCTCCCCCTTTACGTTGTCGTCAAGTTTGAAGGGTACTCGGGGGGGGAATGGTCGTCTCAGGAGAGGTATAGACGTTGTGTCCCTATTTCTCCCGTCGACACCACCTGGCAGGACGGGGGGACGCAGGTCAGGACGCAGCTGCCCCTTAGGCTCTGCTGGGCAATTACGATGCACAAGTCCCAGGGGCAGACTTTAGCCAAGGCCGTCATTGACTTGGGGCCCAAGGAGGCCTGCACGGGGCTTACTTTCGTCTGTCTCAGTAGGGCGAAGAGACTTGTGGACCTCATGGTAGAGCCCATGAGTTTCGACAGGATTGGTAACCTTGGAAATTCGCCGACGATGAAGGCTAGGCTGCAGGAAGAGGTTAGACTTGGGGAGTTAGCACAGAGTACGAGGGTCAAGTACACGGACATGGGCGTCTTCAGCGCCGTCGCGGGTAACCAATGACGTGAATTGCAAAGAGAAAAAGAAGAAGAAAGGGTCTCTTCCACCTCCCGCGGACGCACACGTCTGACGACAGTTACATCTATCAGCTGTCGCTCGTTTTAGCGACAGCTACTATATCTTTTTGAGAAAAAATTGATTTGGTCGGCGCACAACAATTGGCCAAAACGTTTCCTCTCACGCGAACATACCACAATGAATGCCAAATTTGGAGAGGCAAACGATACCTCTGCACGGATTCGTGCAGAGAATTTTTTTGCTGCAAACTTCCTCCTCCGAGGGTTTGATGGGAACCCAGACAACCATAGACACGACGGAAGGGTTGATTCGGAAATAATTAGGGGTTGATTTCGTGTCCGATGGAATGCCGGGGAAATGATTGTCCAGCGGAGGTCTGATGCAGATTTGGATTTTTCTGAAACACCGCGCTGGTCTGCTGCCGTCGGTCCGTTCCTGGGAAACCTCAAACACGTGAAAGTAAGTCAACTCAGTTTCGGCGTTCCGATCGGAACGCGAAACTGTTTTCGCAGTCTGTTCTATTTTCAACATATTCACCACAACGTTTCGGCGTTCGGATCCGAACGCCGCGTTTCCTGTTTCCAGCAACAGTAGTCTCGTCAGTCTATGCCGGCCTTGGCAGCCGCTTTGCCCATGCGCGTGAAATGTGTGTTTTCGACGGGACTGGTATTTTTTAGGGTTTTCCGCTCATCAATCACCTAACTAAATACACTAACCGAAGGCCACCCCTGACCTTTCCTAAAACGCGGTGACCTCTACGGCAGATCGCCCCTTGGTCTCACAGGAGCAGCTGCAGTGTGCACTTTTCTTATTACTGCTTGCTGCTGCTGCTGGCTGATACTAAGTGTTTGTGTTCCACTGTAGTACGTCATCACCGCCATTGCTTTTTGTCCAATCCATCCCCGGATGAAACTCCCTCGCAATTTCTCGCTTACTTTGCCACTGCTGCAGCACTGACTGCTGTACGATTCAATCCCCGCGCCTCAAACCCCAGATTTCGTTCGTTCAATCTTACACGTTCGCGTGATGAGAAGAAAGGTTTCGGCCAATTGTTGTGCGCCAACCAAAGACATTCTTCTCATTAAAATATTTTTTCTCAATCATCGGGAGCGGCTGTTCGATGCTTCCACTATATTTAGCCGAAACCAGAAGGAGAATTGCTACCAACTCAGTATTGAACGTATTCGTTCGATTGCCACCGTTTCTCTTCGCATATCAAAGCCTCGACGTCTTTGTTTTTTTTCAACCCTTCCACTGCAATAACACCGATTCAACAGCCGAATAACTCTTTCGGTATTCCGCACCCGAGACGCCTTTGTGTCGTCTTATTCTTCCCCTTTTGGATACGATCGTTCGTTGATATCCGCAACTGCCGCCCGAGCAACTAGTACAAACAAACCCCGCTCAGCATGGGGGTTGGTTGGCGCGTTGAATGTGCGGACTCTCCCCACTCTTCTCAGAAGCACATTTGCGGCTTGACGGTGTTGTTGGTGCTGGTGTTCTTTCTCTCGGGGCTGCTGCTTGATTTACACAGCACTTTGTCTCGGCCACTACAAAAGGCTGGTATTCCTCTAGTTTTTGGGGTCTCGTTCGACCAAGCCCTGTCTCTCTATTGGTTGAGACAACGCCACCCTGTAGAGTAAGAACTTTACTGCCGTTGTCCCTTGAACAACCTCCATCTGCACGATATACAGGGTGGGTACGCATTGTTTGCGGGCAGACGATGATGGGCTTCGTCCAATAGTCCGGTGTGCAAGCACCCCACCAAACAAGTGATAGGGAAAAACAACGACAACACACCCACCACCAACGATAGACTATGTATCAACGCAAAATTGCAAAATCGCAAAATGTTGTGTAGGTACGATGGCGGCAAAGAGCAGGCGGAAGCCTTGTACGAGCACTTCAAGGGAATGGCTGGGCTCAACAGCAGTAGATGCTTGCAACAACAGCCTGAAGACGCAAGTAAGCGGCCGGAGGGATGGGGTCGAGTAAAACTTGGGTCTAAGTCGAAAAGCCGGAGCGTTCGTCCCACTCTTGCTTTTTTCGAAGCTATCGACGGCGTGTGTAGAGGTCGGTAAACCACCGTGCTTCCGCCTGGCGTCCTTGTGTAGCAGAAAACCATCGTTCCGCCGGGTCTTCCTGTCGCCTTGACCATTTTCCCTCGTCATTCTCCCTCGTTATCGACGAATTATTCAGCCACAGAACGCCGCACCAGTAATTTCCTTAACACGAATGCACAAATCTACGTCAAAATCTCCCATCGTATGCGTTCGAAGGGATTCCAGAGGTTCGTCGGAGGCGTCCTTGACCTCGCCGTCCGTAACGGCGCCGCCTTCGAGCGGTGCCACGAGGTGATGAAGGCCCTCGCCGACTCGTGGGAGAACATGAAGAACATCCCGGCCAGGTCCTGCATCGAGGAAGAGTTCGAGGAGGACAGAAAACAGGTACGGTAGGACGGGGACGGACGTGGGTGGCGGGTCGTGCACTCGTGATGATGATGCATTGCTGTAGACGCAGAATACCTCGCGGCCCTACATACTGCGGCGGGAGGGACGGGACACACGCAGGGTCTCCCACCGGACCATAGTGAAATGCTGTTGTGAAGCAGAGGCTCGGTGCGATTGTAATGTTTTGCTAGCTTTAAAATGAAGCAAGTGTCCGAGGATGCATCCGTCTGTGTACATGGGGGTGCCCATTTTTGTCGGCTACTCTCACGACATGGAGTGATGCTCGTGCTTGCGCATGTGCGACCGTCTGCGTGTTCTCTCTGTTGGCCTGTGGAACGGTTCGCTGCGAAACCACTCTCGACGTGCCGCCCTCTTCCTGTACCTACAGTTGTGACAGTAGTGCCGTTTCCATTGCAAGAATTCAGAGCGTAGCATCAAAAATCGTTCCCACGGGTTGTCCCCCTCCCCCGGTGTTTACCATCGGGGTTGGGTTTTCGTCGCTTGGCAACGACGTTGTAAAACAAGCCGCCCCTCCCGGTGATTGCCATCGGGATTGGGTTTTCGTCGCTTGGCAACGACGTTGTAAAACAAGCCGCCCCCCCCGGTGTTTGC